TGGTTCAAGGAAGGCGAGAGTACAGACCTAGAATGCGTCGGATACTGTGTTGTTGCATGTGGTTATGTAGCCAGAGATGTTTGTTCAAGCAAATGCGCGCCTACTTGACCGCGGAACAAGTAGAAAAATTTGAGCAAATATTATATTAAGGTTGGTTTCTAGCTGCCCATAAGACTATATGTATAGGCAGTTTTATTTTTAAAACTTAAAAGCATGATGTGTTGTTTAGGGTTTAATCAACGTCGTGTGCATTGGTTAAATAAGGAAGGCGTGGATACGCTATGGCTGTGCCGCAAAGATTCAGTACTCGGTTAAGGACAAATTGAACTTTTTTTAGTATTATGTTAACACCTTTTTTATATGAATAGTTTTTTTACGTATTATATATCTCATATACATTGCCAATATTATTATAAAAAGTACTGATGTTACAATATAATTTTTATACATTGATTGTTTTTGATATTCTTACTGCTGAAAGATTCCTGTCTTTAATGTTCTTTCGTACCTTTGTTCTCTTGATATGATTTTTCTTGTGTATTTCTCTGGAAGCAATATTGTTCTGTTTTCTTCTATGATGATAAAGTCGCGAAAGAGATCCTATTTACTTTCTTCAATCGCGCCTTCTAGTTTTAATTTATTTATAAGTTTTATAAAATTGTTCTCATTGAAAGTTGTGCTTGTGTTTTGATTTCCACGATAAAGAAAGGTTAATTTATATAGTACCGGCATTACCATTCTGTTTTATATATTCTATTATACGGAATGTTTTTCGATATTATGATATGTCCGTTTGTTTTATTATCCTTATATACTATGTGTTCGTTACTTCCACAAACATTTTTCTCCTTTTCTTAATGAATATTTTCGCGGTTTTTCAATTTTCGTTTTTTTTCTTTCTGGCGGCGTTACTGCTGGTAGGGCGTGGTCATCATTTGGTGAAATCATCATACAATCTGTGAAATTACTCCATGAAGCGTGATGAATGATATGGTGTGTTCTTGAAGAATTATGTTGATGCATGAATATGGTGTCAATAAAATGCGGGAACATATTGCTGAAAGTTATTCCATATGGCGACGGGAAACGTCTATTCTTTATAGATGTTCGGAATTATTTAGAGGAGCAGAAAAGTCATATGACATTTACAGTTTTTATTACTCTTCTTCTGGTTATTACCCTGTGAAAGCACTAATATATATTATGGTAATTTAGATTCTGCTTTTTTTTCTCGAAGTGGGATTTCCTTTCCATTTTTACGCGAGGATGAAGAGCTTATTTCGTTTTGTGAAATTCCAGATCGTGATTTCCGAATTGAGACTTTTAACGGCTGTTGAAGAACATCGAATGAAAAAAGATATTGATTCTTGTTTTAAAGGTTTTAGAATGGGATTGCGTGATTTTAATTAAGTTGTAAAATTGTTTGAGTATGAGAATGATCAATGTTTGAAGTTGAAAAAAAAATATTATTGTCTTCTCCCGTTTGGCTTTACATACATATTTTTTTTTGTGATAAAATTCAAATTAATTCTTTTACATACTTGTACCGATTGTTTATCAAACATCAATGGAACGATCACTTTACCTATGAGGATGGGTTTTATCTTCGAGATGATCATTTTTGCATTAATGAAAGATTTCACAGAGTATATTTAATGTGGAAAGAAAGATTTGGAAATTTGGGGTATTTAGCTTTGGAAACAAGTGTTAGTCGCTTACTTGATGGGGAGCTTTTTTATTGTAAAGATCTAAAAACTGACAAAGATTACCCTTGCAATTATGAAATTACGCAGACGATGTCGGATTTGTCATTTACATGTTGCCGTTAAGAAAACTTTAAGATGTAAAAATTGTAAAGTTATAAATCGGAGAAAAAAGAGAAATGATTTTCTTTTTGTTTGGTTCAAAATAAAGCAAACTAATGGAAGATATTATTTTGAGTATGGTACTTGTGAATGCAGAGGCCGGAACATGTCGTCCTGAAAGGTTATGATACACTCGAGAATTAAATGATAGGGTAAACAATGAATTTTTGTGAACATATTAATAAATATTCAGTAGTTCAACTTAAAGACATTAATGAAAGGAAAGAAGAAATTTTAAAGAGAGTGACACATATTATAGATATTGATATGTGGAGAATTAGTGAAAGGTATCTTTATGCTGAGGTCAGCATTTTGTCTGTTCGTGATATGATTTGTCATACTTATTATGTTTATCACCCTGGTGTTTTTTTGAGTGATCATGATTTTTCATCAGTTTTATATGTTTCAAACAGAATTTACCATTTTTAAGAAAAAAGTATTCTTATTCTGATATTACTCAGCATGAATTTCATAATATTTTTAAATGGAATTCCTCCGATGATAAATTTGTTTTTGCTTTTAAGGGTGGGCATATTGAAAAGGATTTATGTTCTTATTATTCTCTTGAATGCATTAATCATGAACTGTTTGGTTGTGCAAAATATGAAAAGCAATTACAAATTTTTGAAATGAAAAGTAAATCATGTTTTCGTCATTGAAAAAATTCTTGAGGATTACCATTTCACTGTTCTCGATTTGAGGTTTATTGTTTTACTTTATTTGTATTTAATGAACTTCAAAGGGTAGATAAATTTGAAAAGGTAAAAGGGTTATATATTCAAGGTGATTGATTGTCCAGGTATACATTTTGAAGAGAAATGAGTGGAAATGCATGTATAAAGTTAGCTATCCTGCATTCATTTATTTGAAACCATTGGATAAATATATGAAAAAAAAACAATTGCATCATTGTTTTGATGTTTGTGTTTATGCATTACCCTTTTATTTTGGGTGGAAAGAGACCATTTGTATCATTTACTCAAGTTGGAAATTTTGAATATTGGATAAATAAAATTGAAAATTAAGAGTTTCAGTTTGTTTTTGTTTGCAGTTATAAAAATTCTAAAAAATGTGTTATGTTTTTTCCCTTTCATATTTTTTCAAACAAACATATTGAAAAAGTTATATCGATTAAACCTATTTCAAAATACATTTTTATGAAAATTTGGATTTATAATTCTATTCCTTTAGATAGAACATTTAAAATTTTTCAAGTTTTTTTAGCTGATAATTTTTCAAGTTTTCCAAAGGAATTTTTCAAGTTTTCCAAAGGAAACCCGCATTCAAATTCCAGGGTTAATTCGCTTAACACATTTGTTAGTAAAGTCCGAATTGAAAAATAAATATGTTTTCGATATGCGAAATTTAACATCTGTTTTAAAGTATGAACAGCAAAAGGATTATGGTATGTATCTATATGGTCATTCGTGTAATAACATGAAAGATGGGGAGCATAGAGTTGAAAAAAAGTCAACGACCTGAGAAAGTGATGATGGTCATGCTTATTATTCCTTTCAAATTTGGTCAATTAAAAAAAAGAAATGAGCAAGATTCCTTTGTACAAAGAGAATTGGTGGAGATTCTACCAGGACTATTTTCACACAATCAGTTGTGATCAATGATTTGAAAATTGTTTCCAAAGTCATTGCCATTGTGGTTGGAAAGACAAGTGATTGAATTGCTTATCTTTGTCATCTGCAAAATCATTTTTATGATTCCATCACTTCGTGAATTAGCAAGTCAGATCTTCTGGAGGAACGAGGTAAAACAATTTAATTTAAAATACTTAGTTTTACGATCTATGATACAAGATATAACTGAGAAATTGAATTTAGTTCAACTTGGATGGGGCACAATAAATGTTTTCAGAAATGGGTTGTGGGTTAGAGAAGTGGTTTATGAATATAGAATTCGTAATTATAGCGAATTAGATTTTTACAAATAATTATGCATGCAGGTGGAATGATTTGGATTGCTTTTTTGTGTTCAGATGTTTGGATTATTTATGATGAGAAAATAAATTTCATTTGTATTTTATCTGTTAAAGAATATTATTGTGATATGAATCAAATGTATTCCGTTTTGTAAAGTGTGTGTTCGATTTTCAAAAAAACGTGTTCGATTTTCAAAAAAAAATGGTAGAATGTACATGCATGGTGCATATCAAATTAATTGTGTTGATTTCAAAATTTCAGGATGTTGTTTTGGGGTGGCGTTACTAACTGCTCTTTTACATTTGAGAAACCCAAAAAAATTTGAGTTACTTAGAAGGGATACTAAATTGATTAATGTTTTTACGGAAGAAAATATTTACGATATTTACGAAAAAATTAACCTTCCCGTCGGGAAAGTTTCAGGATCAAATTACGAGTCAGTCTATGAGAATTACCTAAAACAGGGAAATGTTGATCTTGTTGTTTACTCCGATAAGTATTTTAATCAGATTGTTTTTGACACAAGGGTTGATGAAAATGGTAACATTTTACACATAACAAATGATATTATTATTCTGTGATTGAATAACAGTCATTACGATATTATTACAAATTCACGAGTTTTCTGCAATAATCAGTATTCATGTTTTCGTTGTATGAAACAATTTTCACGTTTTGAATTTCAATACAATCATATTCGCAACCCCACATTTTCGTGTAGAAAGTGTTATTCATTGCCTACAAAATGCGTACGAACATGCAACAACATTAAATGCAGTAAATGTAATTTGATCTTTAACAATCAAAAGTGTTTTAAGGCACATCTTTTTAATAAAATTTTTGAGTCCACAAAGAAAAATGTCAAATTGACACCATGTGATTACTTTTTCTTTTGTGATACTTGTTTTAAAATAGTCCCACGCTTTTTTTTTTTTAAATCAAAAGAATAGGCGTAAATTTTATTATCACAGTTGCGAGAAATCATTTTGCGTTACAGTTGATTTCACAAAACTTTGGCCACGCTGAATACGAGATTAATTGGGAACTTGGGAACCATGAAACACGAATTCCCAAGTTAATATCAAACCGGCCAATCATTATTTGCATTTTTCGCATGAAATTAGCAAGTTCATAACGAAATTTCAAACCAAGTTTGCAACTTCGCATCCAGATTCGCAATTCTTGGCGGTAATTTCACAAAATGAATTCATCTAATCCCTTTGTCAAACAAGGAAGATTTTTGCCAGATAATGTTCGTGGGGAAATAGTAGATTGTTGGCTTAGCGGCAATAGTCATGGAAGCATAGGAAGAGAAATGAATATACCTAGAAGTACCGTCACAAATGTAATAAAGAAATTCTTAGAGCGAGGCGACCAAAATCACCTAAGCGGTGGGTGTAAAACGAGAACGGCAAGAACCGATGATGTTGTAATGTACGTGGAATACAGCAAGCGTCAACAACCTAGCATTTCCGCGAAAGAGATTAAGGAAAGACTAGTACAAAATAATGTCTGTCTTCCAGAAAATGTACCGTTTGATTCATCGATAACTCGAGCTGTTCGCAACGATCTTGGTTACTCGTACAAAAGACTGAACGTTGTCGCACGAGAAAGCTTAGCGGAAAATAACGAGGAAAGATTGATGGACTACCTAACGGTTTTTTTAACTATCGACCCAACAACAATGCATTTTTTCCACGAATGCTCGGTCATTAAGACAACGGGAAACAGACATTACGGCCTTTCAGCCGTTGGATCGCCTGCGATTGAAGTGCAGCGCTACGCTTCCAACGCAAATTATACTGTGAATTTGCTGCATGGTATTTTTGGCATTGAACATGCGAATATTTTGACGGGACCTTCGAATGGTTTAGAAGTCATAAATTTTTTTCAAGAGGCTGTAGAAGTTGAGGATATGTTTGGCAACCCCATGCTCAAACAAGGTGATACAGTTATCATGGACAATTGTGGTTTCCATCACGGACGACATACTGAGCCACTTCTACAATATATGCTTACAGAAGTTGGCTGTAATTTGGTATTCCAACCACCGTACCACCCAGTGTACAATACATGTGAATATTGTTTCAGAGTACTTAAGGGGTGGCTACGAAAGAACACAAAATTAGCCAAACCGTTATACCTGTGTCGGGTATAAACTTTTGTTTATTGTTCAAAGTCGCGCAAGTAATTGTAGTATTTTGCCCGTTCCTATTTTGTGAAATTACAAACACAAAAAATATTATGCGAAAGATTATCAGTTGAGAGAGAAATAAAATGTAACAATTTGTTATAAGTCGTCTCCACATTTTATGTCCCAGAGTTTTTATATTAATCTAACAAGAACTTGTAATATAAGCATTGAGCCTAATTAGTAATCGCTTAAAATAATACGCTTTGCAAAGTTTGACATGCAATGACAGTTTGTCACACCCGTGTTATATCATAGGCAGCCCAATGGCAAATGGTTTTATATTTGAAGTTAAAATGTGCCCTTTGATGAAATTCACACACATGATATGTCATTTATTTACATGCTAATATACTTAAATCCTGTTACTTACAAACGGGCAACTTGCGTGTCAAAAACGTGGACTTTGCATTTGTACTTTGACTTGAACTAGTCGATGCAGTGTTTATAATGCTGCGGGTTTTTTGTAGTGGTAAAAGATGGTCATCACTTCGATTGTCAGAATCACTTTCCATCGACATGCCAGCCCACATTGGAAATTGTTTCGCGCTTTCGTCATCCGTGATATTTTTTGTTTTCTTGAGTTTTGTTATAAGTAAACCCAATTGTTCAGCATCATTCACTGTAACTGGTGGTATTTTTCCATCAAGAGGCTCGTTCATTGACTCGATGTGAAATTCAATTTCTTTGAGTTCCGATTTCGCCTTAGTAACTTGTTCTTTTATCTTCTCTTCTTGATCTCGGAGTGCATGGACAACAGTCTTGACAGTAGATAAACAAGTAAGTCAATAAATGATAGATGATAAAATGATAAATAAATTATAGATAAGTCAAAACTGTATGAAGTACTTATAACAATTTTACATAATTCATGCGAAGACGTAATATATTAAATGCTAGGTAAGCATAATGCAAATTATACCAAAATACATATGTACTAACTTTTTTATTTGTTTTGGATGTTCCAGCTTTTTCCATATCCACTGTGCTGTCTTGGCTGCAATGAGCTTTCGACTTGATCTTTGAGACTAACGGTGACTCTTCCCTCAACACATTTAACTTACATGCAAGCAACTTTTTGGCCCCCAACGACAACGGTTCGCTACCTGTATTGAACATGATATTTAACTCGTCCTTGTGTACCAGCTTCAATTTTAGTCGCGTCGTAAACCCATTTGCCTTTAGTATCTCATAAACTTCATTCTGTTGTTTGGGTTCTAGCTCTCGTTTAAAAAATCCATGCTCTTAGCTCAGATTCATCTCCTGCGCAATCCTTTCATGTTCTAAAACTGACATATTGTCGACGCTATAAAGAAAGCAACTTGCTTACGAAGAAGTTCGTCACGAAAATTAATAATTTGATATGAAAATTACGGTTATTTGATTGGCCGGATGATAATGAATTCACAAGTTGCTTTCATAGTATCCAATTTCCCAATTAAAGTCGTATTCGGCGCGGCCAAAGTTTTATGAAATCAACTGTAAGTGTGTAAAACATATGAAAAAGATCATAAGTGTTTCATGAAACCACTTAGGGAAAGTAATAATACAGCGACATTTCCGAGATTATTTTTTTATTTACTTCGAAACAAAAACTGATGAAATGATGAAATGATCCCCTTCTATGCTGTGGTTCAAAAAGTTTGTCAATATTGTGAAAAACAGGTATTTGAAGGATGTAAAGAGAAAGATGAGAATGCTGAAAAATTTGCAGATCCATTTATTAAAAAAGCAAATTGTTCAAATTGCGTTTGCGGATATAGACAGTATGTTTTTGATAATAATGGAGATAATATTATTTCAGACTTAATTAGTTTTATAATTGAACAAAGAAATGTATTTGGATGCACACAACGGAAGTTGAAAACGTCCAACTTGCTTAGGTTTTGAAGACTTAACCAAAGGGTATCACCCCTATTTTTTTTTACGATTTACAATACGAAGGTGCAATGATTGATGTTCGATTTTTGACTTAACAAAAATGGGTGATGAAGAAAGAAAGGCATTCAATTCTTGGTATAATAAGAAATGTAAATCAACATATGTATTTCGTGATGAGATTTATTATATGTGTTTCGGATGTTAATATTCTTCGAAAGGGATGTTTAATTTTTTCAAATTTAATGAATGAAATTGCGAATGTTCGACCGTTTTACGATTCGTCCATGCTAACAACGCAAGTGTTGCATTAAAGGTTTTAAGTTAACTTTTTAAAAAAACATCAAATGGCGTTAATTCCAAAACAAGGATATCGAGGAATACCAATCAATCATTAATTGCATTATGTTGGTAAATTCTATTCCTAATTTAACACACTCAAAAATGCATCGAAATGGTGAAAAGCAAATTTGTGGGGACATGTTAATGGCTTTGATGAAAACACAAACACTGTATTGATATCAGTTTCAGGGATTTTCATGGATGTGAAAAATGTTTTGAGCTCGAAGGTTTCAATAGTACAACTAATGAAAGTTTTTTTAATTTGCGAGAAAAAACAAGACGATTCACAGAATTAATGTTATTACGCGGATATAAAGTTATTGAAAAATGGAATGTGACTTTCTAATTGAAAATAAGTTCACTGAAAAAAAAGTTGCACATGAGAAACTAAAATATTTCAACTTTTTACCACTTGAGCCAAGAGATAGCCTTTTTGGTGGGCGAACATGCCCTGTTTTTTTAAATTACGATGTGAAGGAAGGTGAAAAAATTCGGTATTATGATTTTACATCTTTTTATTCATATGTGCAAAAGAAAAATAAATTTCCAATTGGTCATCCTGACATTTACTTGCGAGAATAATGTAAATCCATTGATGTTAAGTGCATAATATACTATCTTCCCAATGGGATTTGCATTTGTGAGCAAAACCTGCCTGAAAAATGTTTCAACTCGATACTGAAAATGTTAAGCGACAATAACAGGATTTAAATTTAACATGGAGCATCGGTCATGATAGGAAAGAGCCTCAACTTCTTCATCTGTTATATTGTTGCCTTTTGTTTTAGCAATAATCTGAAAAAGCTCAGGCCATCTGAAATCTGCACATGACAATGTCATAAACCATGTTGGTATTCCTAGTTGTTTAACCATTAAACACTACCACTTCGTACATGAATTTTTGCCAGTAAGGAGGCGAGCCAGGAATCTTCATTAAGTGGATCATCTTGTTCTTCATCGTCTTTATCTAGTTGTTTATCATCCACATTAGTTTGCAATTTTGACGCCTTGTCCGTATTTTCTAAATCACTTACAGCATCATTTAAATTAGTTAAGTCTGAGCTAATATTGTCACACTGAACTTGAATGTTTCTATATAAAGGATTGTTAACTATAAGTTAATTTAATGCACTAATTACAAACTGAGGGCGAACTGCTTGAAAATAGACATGACCCCTGAATTGAAGTTTCCTTTTTAATTTTATTAAAATTATCCCAGATCTGTCAGGTAGTCTAGGGAGAACATTACATGTTTGATTACAATCAACTGGCACATTACATATTGCACCTTTGATTTTTCTTTGTTGTCCTTTTGGCATTATTACAATTTTTTCAAAAACTATTCTCTGTGCAACAAGAATTTGTTCAAGTTTCTCCAGTGCAGCAAGCTCAGCAGGGGTTTCATCAACAAACAAATTATTTATCACAGCCTGACAAGGCAGTTGAGCTTTAATTAATTTAGCATGGCATGTTTTGCAGATGTAGTATTTGCTATCGAAAGAACATTGAAACACAAAGTAATCGTGATGAGAATATTTATTTTGTTGTAAGACCTTTACTGATTTTTTATATAATGTTCGGTTACACACACAGCATATATAGAATGGACCAGCTTTAATTTCTTTTTTAAATTCTTCAATGCAGACCACTAATTCCATCTGGGTATTTTTCTTTGTGCAATTTTTCCTTTTACCATTATTTGTAGTAATCAACTTTTTTTTCTTTGATGGATCCATTTTTTTATATCGAACTCTCCTATTCTCTAATAGCTTCTGTTTTTGTTCTTTTCCCATTGTTTTCTTATAATTCAATTTTTTATTATGTAATTCCTTTTTCTTTGACTGATCTAAAGCTTTGTATTTAATTTGGCATGCTTCTAGCCTTTGTCTCTTTAAAGGTGGCTCAATGTTGTCATTAATGTACCTTTGCCTATGCTTTTTCATAAGCATTTTTCTTCTACTGTTAGTTAATTCAGAAGAACAAAACAAAAACTGAATTTCATAATTTACAATTTTCCTCTTTACTTTACTGTTTGCTATGTTAAAAATGATCTCTACTAAACTGTGCTTGTCTTTTATGGTCTTAACATAATGTGTAGTAGGTGGGCTATGATCATCTTCATAAGCTAGTATTGAGTAGGACTTTTTCTTTAAAGTTTCCTGAAAGATACAAGAGATACAATAACCTCCAAGCCAAATTAAAAACCCTGTGCTTTCAGAGCTATGACAAATAAGATTTTCAATGCTTAATTTGCTTTCTGCCATGTTATTAACTACCCCTTTGTAATTTGTTTGCAATTTTACATGTACATCAGTTTCACAAATTTTAACTTTTTGCAGTAGATCAGTTGAAGACCAAGTATTTACACCAATGTTATTATACAAAATTGTACCAAAGTAAACCAGTGCTTTTACCGTATTTGAGTTCCAGTAATTACATGGTTTAATAATTGAGTAACAAATTGAATATACTGATATTGCACAGCGTTGTCTACACAAGCAAGAAATGTTCGTTCTTTTACTTTCTTGTGATGCATTACCTGACAGGCAAGTATTTGTAATATTATTGGTTAAGTCATGGTTAACAGTGGTTTGTAATTCTTCAATATTAACAGCTTTTAAGCTCAAATTGACTGTTTTCACTGTATAAGGACTGGAAATGCAGAATTACATGGTTGATAGTTGCTGCCTTTAACAAAACACATGTACCTTGTGGATGACTTCAGCCGTAAATATCCCTTGAATGCG